GCACCACTGAATTCTCCTCTCTCCTCAGTTCTCACATATCTCTGCAAGGTTTCCACCTCTTCTTCTTCTTCTTCTTCTTCTTCTTCTTCTATGGCTGCTGCAACTGCTTCTTTCTCCTTCTGCAACCGTCTTAGCTCTTCCTCCAACTCCTTTTCTTTCTTGGCCTTCTTTGCGAGAAGAGCTATCTGTTTGCTTTCTTTTCCAACTCTTTCTTCTCTTTCCTTGCTCTCTGCTCTGCCAGAATCTTTGTGGCCTCCTCCTCCTGCTCCTTTGTGTAAGGAGTGGTCATTTTACCACCCTCCGTTGTGACTCTACACGAGAACGTGTGCCAGAAGCCTAAAGGAAACAGGAGACGCTAGAGGGTCCCCCACAGGGAGAACCCTACGAGCAAGGAATACATAGGGTAGTCATCCATAGTGATAGGTGCACGACCAGTGGCAGTTCCACTCCTCACCACTGAAACTTACCCACAACTGATTGACTGGCTGACTGACTTTCTAAGTATTACAAAATCTTCTCCTTTGATCCAGCCAGGTTATCACAACCGACGGAAGCTTTTGCCACCACTGTCACCGAAACTTTCCAGATCCCAGTGCACCATGCACCAGGGATCAATCCCACCTGGCTTTCTCTCTGGATCAGACCCAGCCAACTAGGGTCTCTAGCCTGACCTTTTTCCAAGGCTGTCAGTACGGGACTTACTGCTAATCATGAGGCATTTAAGGAGATTCCTCGTAACTCCTCAGGAATTTTTTAACGTCGCAGTCAGGACGACGTGATCAGCGAGTCCTCTCAGGACTTAGACAGCTGGCTGTACAGCCTGCAGCTCGGATTTTGGGCCTACCATGCCACACTGAGCAGCCCGCCGGTTTGTACCAGTCCTTGGGAAGGTTGGGCTTTCGGGACGTTCAGTCGTCAGACATGGACTTAAGCCCTACTCGGCCCGTGCAGGTTTGATCAACGCAGCTCTACAGACCACATGCATAGAGTCCTATCACCTGGACAGAAGTGACTCAATGCAGAAAGAAGAGACAGACAGACTCAACAAGTACCATGGGGTGAGTGCACATCCATAGGGCGAGGGGTAAGGCTTGAGGCTTGGCGAGATTATACCAGCTCCAGCTTGGTCAAAATTGTGGTCAAAGGCCTCAGTCAAACTCGGTCAACACCTTGGTCAACCCTCCTGGTCAGAGTTCTGACCTTCGGCTATGGCTGCCAACCTCTCTCTCTCTTCCCCCCGGTCTTTTTTCTTCTTCACCCACTTGGCTATGGTGTCTTCCTTCTCTCTCGTCTCTCCTTCCTCTTTTCTTCGTCCTCTCTCTTCTTCGTCACTTTCGACTGCCACCTTCTTGCTGCTGCACAACCAATCTTGTATCACTCGGCTCTCTCTCTCTCTCTCTCTCTCTCTCTCTCTCTCTCTCTCTCTCTCTCTCTCTCTCTCTC